TCCTTATGTTGTCTTATGTGTTGTGCCAGTGGCTCAATAAAAATTGCAAATAAAGTTGGTGACAAACAGCAGCCCTGACGGGTAGAGCGCTCTAGTTTTATATTGTCAGTTAGATTTCCATTAATCTTGATTCTGGCCACAGGTGACTGATACAAAGTCCTCACACACTGTACAGCTTTTTCATTAAAGCCAAATTTTCCAAGTGCTTTATATAAGAAGTTCCAGCCTACGCTGTCAAAAGCTTTTTCTGCATCGAGACTGATTAAGATAGCTGATGATTTTTTATTTTGAATATGGTCTATTATGTGAAGTGCCATTCTGATGTTATCTCGCGTTTGACGACCCTTAATAAATCCTGTCTGGTCCTCATCTATGATATCTCCAATGAATTGCTCAAATCGTTTCGCTAAAATCGAGGTATAGATTTTATAGTCCATGTTTAGGATGGATATAGGTCTATAATCAGAGCATGTTTCACTCTTCCTTTTTTTCGGAATGACTGTTATGATTGCTTCTCTCCAAGAAGGCGGGAGCACTGCATGTTCCAGTGTATAATTAAATGATTTTTCTAGTAGTGGTAGGAGATCTTCGCTGAAGGATTTGTACCACTCAGATGGCAGTCCATCACTTCCTGGTGTTTTACCATTTTTTTAACCTATTAATTGCCTTTTGTATTTCTATCCTAGTTATATGGGAAGTGAGAAGTTTGTTTTGGGTTTCACCAATTGAGGGCAGATCCAGTGACTCCAAGAAGGTTTCTATCTGTCCATCATTAGCAGAGGGAGGCTGACTGTATAATCTCTGGTAGTATTTCATAAACCTGTCCTCAATAGTTGCTGGGTCATGTATCATTTGATTTGTTTCATCATCCTTTAATTTATAGATATGTCTATCTGACTGTTGCTTTTTCAATTTCTTTGCCAACAGTTTTGTTCCTTTAGGTCCCACCTCATGATATGATTGTTTAATAAACTTTGATTTCTTTTCAATTTCATATGTAAGCATTTTATCAATGTTGTTTCTTAGTTCTTTTATTTTTATTAACAGGTTGGGATTTTGGGTTAATTTGTGTTGTCTTTCCAGATCTGTTAGTTGAGCTCTTTCTTTTTCATAGGCATTCACTCTAGATTTCTTAAAGGCCGCTGTTTTTGAGATCAATTTTCCTCTTAATACTGCCTTAAGTGCGTCCCATAATATCACCGGATTAACCTGTCCATCGTCATTCTCTTCTATGTAAGTTTTTATATCGTGGGAAATTCCGGCTTTGATTGTTTTGGAGTTCAACAAGCCTACATTTAATCGCCATGCTGTTTTGCGTTTTTCAGAAGATAAATTTAGTTTTATTATTAGCGAAGAATGATCAGATATACTTGTTTCTTCTATTTTACATTCCTTTATCTTATATATATCAGATTTATTCATGAAAAAGTAATCAATTCTAGAATAACTTTTATTAGGCGCTGAGTAATGGGTATAGTCCTTTACATTGGTGTTTAATTCCCTCCAGACATCAACAAATCCAAATTCCTCAAGTGTCAATTTAAATTTTTTTGTAGTTGAATTTTGTTGTTTTCTACTATTTGTTGTATCAAGTTTTGTGTTTCATACCATGTTGAAATCCCCTCCCCAAACCAACATTCCCTCTGTTTCCATAATTATTTTGTTGAGGAGGCTATTAAGGAATTGTTTATTACTATTTGGAGGATTGTAAACATTGACCAGTGTTACCATTACATTGGCTAGAGTCCCCTTCACCATCACATACCTCCCCTCTTTATCTGACAGATCATAGCTACAATCAAATTTTATTGAATCATGAATTAGAATTGAAACTCCTCTTTTGTTTCCATGTCTGAAAGAGCTGTAAAATACCTTTGAGTAGCCAAAGCCCCTGAGTTTTTTATGTTCCGATTTAGACAGATGCGTCTCCTGTAAATAGATTACCTGTGCTTTCTCTTTTCGCATTTTAGTTAGAATTTTTTTACGTTTTATAGGGTTATTCATACCATTCACATTCAACGAAACTATCTTGATAATATCAGTCATTATTTAGTTTTGTAAGGTCACCGTGTGATTCTAGAAAAAGATCCCCCAACAAATAGCTGAACAGGCTATTAAAACACAGATGAACAAATAGAACAGAAACTTCCAAAGGTGGAGATGTATGAAAACATCCCTCAGTGTCCCTGCTGGTGGGGTGGGGGCAAAGTACCACACTAGGGTGGGGGCCCCCTCTAGTAGTAGACGGAGATCTACCTGTACTAGGTAAGTCCAACATTTGGTAAGCGCTACAACATTCACTCCTTTCGGCACTTTGTTTAAATATCTATCAAAAGACCTATGAGCAATAACTTCAGTAACAGAGGGGAGAATAATATCCAAAACAGGACTAAAACCAGCTGGTAAAGACATTCAGCTCTTAAATCGCCCGTACGTTACTTTAATTTTTTTTTTTTTTTTTTTTTTTTTTTTTAATAGTAGAGCAAACCTGTTATGATTCAATGTTCAGAGTTACTGGTCCTCACGTCTGAACTCTGTGAGCCTCTCCCTCGCGCGTTGTCCTGCACCGGTGTTGTTGATCCGTTTCCATGGTAACAGTGAGTCGAGCCTCTCCTTGGTCACTTTCAACTTGTTCTCTCTTGGTACCCAGGTCAAGTCGAAGCCTCTCTTGATCATATCCGACGCTGCTTCATCTGCGTTCTGGTAGGTCCGCACTCCAGAGTCCCAGAAGATTCTCATCTTTGTGAACGGCGTCTGGAATCTGACGCCCTTCTGCTTCAAGACTGCCTTTAATGGGCCATATGCTTTACGTTTTTCTATAACGTCCGAAGCATAATCGTTATCAAAGTAAAGGCGCTTGCCCTCCATCTCCACTTTCTGTTCCCAGGCTTTTCTCAGAACCATTTCTTTTGTGTTGGATTGCAAGAAATTCACAATTATAGACCTCGGGCCGCATTGGGAGGCGGTCTGGGTGCCAGAGCTCGGTGTGCCCGCTGAATCTGTGGTTCAGTTCCTTCCGGAAGCTTCAGCTGTTTGATCAGCAGATTGGCGACAAACTCGGAAACCGATCTACCTTCTTTACCTTCCGGAACCCCATAGATGCGAAGATTATTTCTCCGGCTTCGGCTCTCCAAATCCACAAGTTTGTCGTTCATAGCTCTGTTGCTTTCTAATGACACAAGCAGCGCATCTTTCCTTTCCAAGCACGCCGCCTCCAGATCAGCTATTCGGGTCTGCGCCTCGTTGATACTGCCCTTCTGGTTCTGCAGTTCGCGCATCATTTCCTCCCTGAATCTGTTGAAATCTTCTTTCATTGTTGCCTTTACATCTTCTTTGAGTTCTTCTATGTCTTGCTTCATCTCGTTTTTAAACTCTTTTAAGTCTTTAGAAAGCATCTTGATACTCTCCAGCAACGCGTGCTGTTGTAAGCCAACGCTAGCTTTGCTAGTAGCAGCGTTAGCCTCATCCTCACTACCATCTCCCGACTGCTCACCAAAATCTTGTGTTTTAGACGTCTTCTTTTCGGTCTTGTTAATTTTCGGCATCTTCCCCCTTTAAATGGTTTAGACTGAAGTTTTGATAGTTATCTGAAATAAGCAAGGGGGGAGATTTAAATACCGAAACGGAGGAGCCTGTTCCTACGTGGCCATCTTGTTGCAGCGCTGACCCGGAAGTCCCGGAAGGTGTTTTTTTTACATACGTAATCTAAACTGCAGGCACCAGAATAATAAAATCAAACTTATTTTGCTGGCAGGTTTTGACATTTGAAGTTAATTTGGGCGTTAAACTGTTTCAGAGGAGTGATCATAGCGCTCTGGTGTTGGGATCTGGAGCTGTACCACCTGACTCCAGCAGAGTTTGCTGTGGATCCTCCTGAGCTGAGCCTTCGACACACCTGAAGCCCATCTCGTCATCAGGAGGATCCTCCACCATATAAGCAGTCCTCAGACCTCGCATCAACGCCGCAGTGTTTATCCAGTTTGGTTAGCACCTGAGCCTCTCTGTGAATTCTTTGTTGCTTCTAGTCTCCTAGTTGGATTCTAATTCCCTTTTTGTCTCTGCCTACAGGAAACCAGTTTTTGTCCTGTAAGCTCTGGATGAGCTTAACCTGTCGACCTGCCCTCCGAGCCAAACCTGAAGACCCTTCTCTGGATACCTAAGCTGCTCTGGACTAAGAGCTAGAAAACCAAGGTCTGTCCAAACGTAAGATGCAAGACGCTGAAGCTGAAACTGAACTCTGCTGAATCAAACAGTCTCTGGATCCAACAGTGCCTCTCTCAAAGCCAAACCCGGATTCTTCAAGGTAGATCTCAGAAGATTACATCTCCACATTCTTCTGCTACGTGGCTAACTGAACTGTCTCCCTTTCAGTATCCTGTGAACCAGATCCCCAGACGTGAACCAGTACCTGACATATTTCCATGTGCTTGTGTACAATAAACATTGTTAAACTTTTACTCTAGTTTCCGTCTCTGTGGTGTTCTGCATATTGGGCCTCTCTGAACCAATCATGACATCTGCATCAGCAGTGCTGCGTCTGACTCCCTGCCAGCTCCCAGATCAGCTTCTCTGATTGGTTAATGTGGCGCATCCAGCAGCAAAAGTTAATTTCTTCCAACTCAAGCAGCAGCTGCTGCTTTCGCAGCACGTTGCTCGCGTCAGATGCTCAGGAGCTAACGATGCGCTACATCAGCTAAACCAAACGCGCTGCAGGACCTTTTGCTGCGCCTTGATGCACGTCAACCATTGACTCTGCATGTAAACTAGCTGCTTTTGCTGCCTCTGCTGCGTGCGGTGTGAACATAGCATAATACTAATGTATTATGTTGTGTATGTTCGAATAAAAGTTAAAAGAAAAAAAATATTTATACCAGAAATCCAATTTCCAATCAGAACAAAATTGATTCTAAAATTCGAGAATCGAATCGATTCTTGGAATTTGAATTTATACCAGCCCTGTTTAAACTACGTGTTAAAAGAATCGGACATGTTTGACTGACCAGAAGGACCAACCGTAGTCCCAGTTGTGGGGTCTCCAGTCTTCAGGACCCAGACTGACTGTGATCTGGAACACCTGAGTGTACATCATGTGGGCCACCATACCCAGCAGACCTGCAGCAAACACAAACAGGACAAAACATATTTCTGACAGCAATGGCTTATATTACCCTTTTAATAAACAATAATATAATTGATTTTGTGGAAACGTTTAGCGCCTGATCTTCAAAGCTTCCAAGCAGTGCTTAGTTACACATAAAACACTTTGAACGATGCAGTAAGTAGGCGTATTAGTGGTGATCAAATAATAAGACCTGTAAAACAGTTTGGTTCTTCAAACAAACAGATTATGTTCGGCCGGCAGATTGAGGGTCCATTAAAAAGGTTGAAGTTCTGAGCCATAGGAAAGTAATAATGACAATAAATACCCAAAAAATGATCATTAATATTTATATAGCACTTCACAAAGGTAGTAGGGCAGAACCATTTGGGCAGAAATAGAACTTTGATTATTTTCAACACGTATATTGTGACTGAGTTGTGTGGTCGGAAAATGTAGATTTCTCTTATTTCATATATTGATTAATGCTTTTTACTAACTGAAAAATCTATTGACTCAGTCTGTTTCACCTGCAAGGCAACAAAATGCCTGAGTGAGGGTGTTTGCAGAAAAGACAAACCTTCTTCCCATAAGAAACCAGATTCTTTCAAGGTTTATTCATAACATGTTACTGTTTAACCAAAGTGTCTGTAATTTGTTTTGACTCTGACTACTTTCCATTATTGTAAGTAAGGAGGAACGAACGCTGGCCATACTTTAATCTATGTTCAGAGATCCTTTCCATGTAAAGCCAGGCGTACACCGTATGATTTTTTGCTCTTTTCAGGCCGATTTTCTAGTTGTGTGAGAATTTTTGGATCAGGCCGACTTTTTTCCTGATGGTGCGTTGTGTAGTGAACAGGGGGTAACGAGGGGCGATCAGCCGCTAACGACCACCTCCCCATCAGGAATCGTGAGGTCAGGAGAAAATTAAACGTTTGAAAATCAGTCGGCCGTCATAAGGTGGTCCTGGGCAAACCGCTCAGAGCACAAAGAAGGATTCTTCTTCTTCTTCTTCCTCTCAGATGAAAACACAGCAGCATGGCGGACTGACAGACCGTAGTAGCCACGTTAGCTCAGCCATGTCTTTGTCCAAATACGTCGTCTCCTTTTCTTTTTAGGGCTTTCAGCACAAAATTAAACAAATATCCAAGGCAGCGCGTTTCACTCTAGTGAGCTTCATGTTCCTCTTCTACTCCTTCGGCTTCCCGCTAGACGAGTCCGAGTAGCGCCATCTCACTCAGCTGAGTCCCATCTGGTTTTTAGACGTACAGTGTGAGCAGGTAGATCGCATCAGAGCGTCGGCTGTGAGAACAAACATGGTGAGCTGGGAACTTTTAAACCGTGCGGTTTCGTTTTGCAGTGTGAGCTGTAGCTGAAAAAATCGCACTCATTCATCTAAAACAGCATTTTATTTCATCCTTTTAATGCTGTCTGTTTCACTATCATTACAAATATGTAATACAGTAATTCAGTAATGATTTTAGCTTTTAGGAATCAGCTTTCTCAATAAAAAACAAATATGAGATGTATTATTAAAATAAAAGCAGTAAAGTAACCTTATTCACACAAAATATGAAATATTTATTGTTTGTTGTCAAACCTTTTGTGTGGCTAACAAATAAAACTTTTAAATGAAATTTCTAATATTTATTTTTTCCCTAAATGTCCTTACTGCCCCACTACAGTATAATTTAATGTATAAAAAAGGTCCAATGAAAATTCTGTATAATGAAAGTTGATCAATAAAGCTGTTAAAGGTTTGCGTCAAACTTCTTATAGAACAGCTCTGACTCTTATTAGGAAAACATGATCCATCAGGATCATTAGTGGAAACCACACAGCAGTAAATCAGAGACGCTCTGCTTTCGCCTCACTAATAAATCACAACGTTCCCGAACACCAGAGTCACTCGTTACACAGAATCAATTGATTTAACGCCGCCGTGATCAGGCTTCTAATCAATTAGACATGGGGACGTAATCACTTATGAAATTACAGCAAATCAAAGCGGAGACGGTGAGCGAGTGGAAGGCATGAGAGTGATGAAGACTCGATCCTAATCAAACCATCAGCTGGGCTGTTTGTACTTCAGGAAGGCATGTGTGTGTGTATATATATATCTATATATATATTTATGTATGTGTGTGTATATATATATATATATGTATGTGTGTGTGTATATATATATCTATATATATATATATATGTATGTGTGTGTGTATATATATATGTATGTGTGTATATGTGTATATATATGTATGTGTGTGTGTATATATATATGTATGTGTGTATATGTGTATATATATATATATATATATGTGTATGTGTGTGTATATATATATATATGTGTATGTGTGTGTATATATATATATATGTGTATGTGTGTGTATATATATATATATATATATGTGTATGTGTGTATATATATATATACACATGTGTGTATATTGAAGCCGTGCCAGGGGTGTGTGGGGACATGGTATCTAAGGCTACGTTCGCACTGCAGGCTGAAGTGACCCAAATCAGATTTATTTTGCCCATATGCGACCTGGATCTGATCTTTTCATGGCTATCTGAATAACACATCCGATTTTTTTCAATCCAAATTCATTTGACCCGAAGGTCATTAATACCTGACATAGGTCACTATTCTGCATCTTACTACGCAGAAGCGTCAAGAAAAACAACCATGGCAGATGATGATGCAGAGAGCAGTATTTATGCTTAAACATATTGAAAAGCTTGAGTTTTTATGGTTGGGAAAGACCGCTAGATGCGCACCGGCACTACCATCCATCTTTACTTCCGTAAACACGGAGCACGCTGGCCTGTGACGTCATCGCGTCCTCTACTGCGCATGCGGGACACTTGCGTTGTATGACTGCAGTTCACACAGGAGATCACATGACCGAAAGAACGAGAACCCGGATACAAGCCGCTGAAATGAGTTTTCTCTGTAGTGTGTCTGGGCTTCATCACATTTCTGGAATCAAAACGGAGTGCATCTGCAATTTGAAAAATGTGTTTCGTATAAATTACAATGACCCAAACCTAATAGATAGTTTACCTCAAACTACAAACAAAAGTTAAAAACAAAATTGGCTCTTTATTTTATCTTTGCAAAGAGAGAAAAGTTCATCATACGACCCTTATTGCACGGTAATCAGCCCTGTTCTGATCTGAGCCCCATTCGTTCCTCATTACTTACAATAATGGAAAGTCAAATTTATTTGGATATATGAACGGCAACGCAAAGAAAATCGGACTTCACAAATAAATCGGAATTGAGCATCAAGGCCTGCAGTGTGAACGTAGCCAGAGATTGTATGAATGATTGAATACTAAATTTGAAAATCCAATACCAAACATGGCCAGAAGATGGCAAAAGTGCATCTATATCTAGTGTGAATGAGCGGTCGTGTTCAGAGGGTAAAGCACAAACCCTTATTTTTAACTGGCATACACAGTCAGTTATTGCCTCTGGTACATCAGCTGTTGCCGTAGCTCCCGGCAATTGTGTAGCGTACGCAGCCGCACGAACAGCAGCTTGATGGCCAGGGTCTAACTCCTGTTTGCGTAGCACCTTTTTGCCGCTTCTTGGAGCACAGCGAGCAGAAGCAAGCGCCTGGTTAACCTAACTTTCTGCACCAGTTGCTAAATGGCTCGCCATCTCGCCCCATTTCCTCCAGCCATGCCCAGCGCCATTTATTGTTGAGAACTTTATCTATGGTGGTGACATCTTCCCCAGAGTTCATGAACTGCATTGTTCCAACTCCACGCCATTCGGTTCTCTCTATCGTCCTTCTCTCCAAACACAAAGTTGGAGCCGTAAGCGGCGCAAGGGGACTTTCCGTGTAGAACTTCAGCACTGCAGCACAATCTATCTGGCAACTATTTCAAAATACGCTATATATGATGACTGTTTAATAGTCTATAATGTAATTGATGACATAAATAGTACTTAAAATAATTGTACACGGCTAAACATCATGTGGAATGGAAACAAGTGTTTTTTTGTTTTTTTGATGTTTTGACAGTTAATTGATGATAAATTGACAAGTAGGAAAGGGGCGGGACATTATAAGATGTATCCTCTACCTGCTCCTTTTCGAGCAGAAAATATAAAATTTGCATGTCACATGGGCAAAATAATTTTTTATATTTTCATTCTTAAGTTTGTTTCATTCAAATTTTTTTCTTTCTTGATTGTTTTTACTGTCTGTTTGAAATAAACAAATAAAAAAAATTGAGCAAGGAACAAGAGGAGGTACACGCTTTCCTAAGACCCGCCCCCTTCTTCTTCTGATTGGCTACTATTAGTTTCAGAGGCTTTCAAACGCAAGAGGGATTTCAATTGTCGTTTTTTTTTTTTTATTTACCGTCATGGGGCTGAAATACTTTAATCCCTACATCTATGAGATCTAGATCTATTTGACAGCCCATCTATCCATGAGTGAAGAACAGCATCATGAAGCCTCATCAGCTTCAGCCTCTCCTAGATGTGTCCTCAGAGATGTGAGCAGTGGGCAGAGCCAGCTTCTTGTGTAAGAGGTTTAGTCTGAGTCGGGATAAACGTTCCTGGCAGAGATCGTAAAGATCTGCTAAACCTTCTGACCCAAAACATCTGCATCAGCCTCTCCTTCTTAGCAACTGGAAAATGCTCTCATTTTAACATCCGTATTTCCCATCTGGAGCTCATGCTAAAGGAAACAGTGGAAGGTTCCTTCAGGTGTTCCTACCAGACAGCACGGTGAAGACGGCGGCGAAAGCGTTGAGTTTGAGTCCATCGATGACGTTGCTGGAGTGGAAGAGCTCCACACACATGAGGCTGAAGCCCACCACCAGCAGCAGGATGTACAGCACCTCCGAAACCACCGACAGCCACAGCACACCTGGAAAACACAACAGCTACTCAGATTTCCTGGACTTTTAATCCTTTAACTCAAGAAAAAGAAATTCAGAGATTTTTAAACATTTCCATCCATCCCTCTCCTGTCCACCTCCCCCCCTTAGGCCAGTTCAGAGACCCGGATCAACCCTGGACCAGGATCAAAACCCAGAAACGTTTTGCTTCAAAGCACAGCTGGATGAACGGCTCCATCCTGCAGCTGCATTTAAAGCATCTTTAACCTGGATGGCAGCTAAATAAAACTCATTCAGGTCGTCTGAAAATTTAAATATCAGATAAAACCAACCCAAAAAAATTAAAAGGCATAAATACTCCATTATAATCAGGGGTGGAAAGTAATGAATTACATTTACTCAAGTTGTAAAAAAAAATAACTTGTGGAGTTCCGCAGGGATCAGTTTTGGGACCCACACTGTTTAATTTGTTTATAAACGACATAGTTAAAATATCAAACCTTATAAAGCACATTCTATTTGCTGATGATACAAGTATCTTCTGTACTGGAGAAAACCTTCAACAACTTTCAGAAGTGGTCAACACAGAAATGGAAAAATTACAGCATTGGCTCAAAAACTATAAATTATCAGTAAATTTAGATAAAACCAAATTCATGATATTCGGAAACAATAAAAAACAGGAAAATAATCAAATTAAAATATCAATTGAAAGTGTTAATTTAGAACAAGTACATGAAATAAAATTCTTGGGTGTCATATTAGACCATAAGTTAAGCTGGAAACCTCAGATCAGCCAAGTAAAATCTAAAATAGCCAAGTGTTGCTGTTATAAGAAGAATTAGTTTCGTCCTGGATTACAAATCTTTGTTTATTCTGTACAAAACACTCATTTTACCACATCTAACATATTGTGTGGAAGTTACAGCCATTATACGTTTTACAAAAGAAATCAATCCGAATACTACATAAAGTGGGATACTGGGAACACACAAACCAGTTATTTATCAAATCAAATATACTAAATTTCTGGGACCTGGTAATATTTAGAACTTCACAATTCATTTCAAAATACGCTATATAAGATGACTGTTTAATAGTCTATAATGTAATTGATGACATAAATAGTACTTAAAATAATTGTACACGGCTAAACATCATGTGGAATGGAAACAAGTGTTTTTTTTCCCCTTTTTTTGCATTAAATAACTCAAAGTAACTAAGTAACTTTTACTCAAATTACAATTTTTTTAGTACTCTTTCCACCTCTGGTTAAAATTAAATTCATTTCAGTTTATTTCTATAGCATCAATTCACAACATTTCATCTCAAGGAACTTTCCAGTTCAACCAGATCAACCAGTCTGATTGATTAAAAGTTTTCTTTCATTCTTTCCAAAAGAAGATTTGCAATTTTTTCACGATGTCAGACTCACCAGCGGTAAGTGAAAATGGGGACGGCCTTACGTAAACATGTCACCAGAATGATTGACAGTTAGGACGACCACTTATTTAGGTGATCCACCCGGAAAAAGAACATCCTCCACTGTACCTTCAAATCATTTAAAGGGTTTTCCAATCATGACTATTCAGATGACGTCATTTCCTGCACAGATCAAAGACAAAATGCAGCATTTTGCCTCCATGACATCATCACATCCACTGACGCTTACTTTTTTTTTCTCTACGTAACAACATCCATGAGGGTACCCCACCCCCCACCCCACCCCCAGTGAGGCAAAGGCAGTATTGTGTTTCTGTTTTTTCGCCCTGAATATGTAGCAGACCTCAGTGAACTGCAGACAGTCAATAAGACATGCTGAAGGGGTGAGGTGGGACGGGGGGGACGGACTGATAACAGGAAGGCAGCGGCTCATCAGACCGAGTCTCAACACATGGCGATATAATTACTTCCTTTAATTACAGCGTGCGCTAACGTGTGTGTTTGTGTTGGCGGCGCGTGGCGTCTGCAGGTCCTGAGCATAACGCTTGTTCACTGCTGTTGTTTTTCACAGCTTCTCTCTAGATTTCCAAAACAAGAACGGCGATTTAATTAAGTTTAGACCCTCGGGGAGGCTGGCTGTGCAGAATCCTCGTTAATCAATTTACAGCTGGATTTAAATTAAAAATGAATCACTTACACAAACCCAGTTAATAAGGGAGGGAATGTTTTGATGTTATTGCATATGTTTCATGCAAACTTTTGAGTTGGAAACAATTATTTGAAGGTGTTTCGTTTTATTTTGGTTTTCTGTCAATTCTAATTTTAAAACTTCCCGTCGTTCATGAAACAGAAGGTCTGACGGCTAAATATGTGACATAATTCCTGAACAATAAGCTCTGCACTGGTGGCTACTGGAGACCTCCTGCTTCATCCTTGGAGCTTCCAGTTTGCTGATAGCACCAGCAAGGTGCAACAGGGCCCTGAGTAAAAAAAAAAAAATCAGATAATTAAGATGATCTGCCAATGGAATTAACCCTCTCATGCATGAATTATAGACTTAGACAACTTTTATTGTCATTTTCTATACAGATCAATACAAAATGACATTTCCATTTCTTAAAGTGCAGCAGTGATCCAATCCAGCAGATGTCGCTGCGGATGTGTTAACGCCAGCTGCTGTGGTCACTAGCATGTCCGGCCGCGGGATACTGAGACGAGTCATTCGTAAACAAAACATGGAGGAGACTGAGATAATTCGTCCCGTGGCTCCATTACATTTCAAGTCAGATGCTTGGATGCACTTTGGCTTTAAAAACAAAGAAGGTAAAACGAAATTGATATGATGCACATAATTTGCAAAAGGGGAAATATACATTTGAAAGTTTTCATTTCATTGGTTTAAAGGACTAGCCTGACGTAGTCCTACTCAATTCTAGTCAGAATATGAGTCTGATGCTGCTCCATAGAGCTGTGATTATGGGGCGTGTTTCGAACGAACCAGGAAAAAAAATGCCTCTGCACTCAATTGGATAGACCTACAACCAATAAGAGCAACGGAGTGCGTGACGTATGTTAAGCGAGGCATAGTTGTTGTCAACAAAAATCAAAGCGTGCAGTTTCACGCCTAGAATAAGAAGATGAGCCTTGATCGCGTTTCTCTGTTCCTCTTTTAAAATTAATTTGCTGTCGATATCTTCTAGAACAGACCTAATAGCAGAATCTACTCACCCAAACTCTCCAGCGGCAGCCATTATTGTTGTCACCCAAGCGCACTTTGGTGACGTGGTTGATTACGTTACTGTTGATCATCTGTCCATCATCGTATAAAGCCCGCCCTGACAATTTGATTGGATCGCCTGACAGTGGGCGATAATACTCGCGCTACTATGGAGCAGAGCCAGACCGAACTTCCCCGAACTCAAACCTTGTGGGCGGGACTAAGTTCTGACTGGCACCCAGGCTATTAAAGGACCACTGAGGCCATGTAAACGGTTCTGATTATTCCTTATTTTGTTATTTTAATTTGATGAATCCTAAGATCTTGTGTCAGTGTGTCCACACCAGTAATAGTAATATTTCTGTCCAGTATTTATTTCCATGGCAACACCTCCAAAAGTCATTCAATAAATCCAGCTATGTATGAATTCAGTTGCTTTCAGTTCTGCATCAATTGAAGACACGATCCAGATCATACCCAGCCACTGGTAAGGGCTGGATCTTTTTCTTACAGTGTTCAGTGAAAATATCGCAATGCATCGCAATATTTCAAGTATCGTGATGCATCGTGATAGAATCGCATCGTGGCATGTGAATCGTGATTCGAATCGAATCATGACTTCTTTGGCAATACCCACCCCTAGATCCAATGTGATCAAACGTTGCAGAAAAAACACATTGATATGGAAGTTCAGAGCATTGATATACATGGTGCAGATATGCAGTTGGTTTGGTGTTATCAGTGTGATGCAGCGTCTGTGTCAAGATATAGAGATTTCTCAACAGCTCAGCAGTCTGAAGAAGCTGCTGCAGAATCTGTTGGGCCTGCTTATTATAAAATATATCCTCAGGAATGTAAAACAAGTTTGAAATAAAAAATGTCCATCTTCATTCTATAAAGAAATATTTATCTGTCCGCTCAAGTGTAGATTTTGCATTTTATACTGTAAAAAACAATAATTTTTCAACAAAGTAGTAGTAGTAGTAGTACACTAAGCATGCTTGTAGCGACAGTGGAGAGGAAAAACTACCTTTGAACAGGAAAAAACCTCCAGCAGAACCAGGCTCAGTGTGAGCGGCCATTCAATTCAATTCTATTCTATATTTACTGTTTATTAAAGCCCGACTAGAGATACGTGGTGCACTGCAAAAAGTGCCAATCTAACAAAAACATCTTGAGAAGACGTATATCTTAATTCAAGTCTTACTAAGTACATTTGTCTTAATTTATTGGGAGATTATTGGTATTTTTAATAAGTAGAATTTAAGGTTATAATCTAAAATAATCTACTCCTGTTTAGTGCTTTAAAATAATTTAGACATGGTATAAAATCGTAAAACGTGCTTTAAAAGACACATTTTAAGTTTGTCAATTAGCTGAAGATTGTTCTTCTTTCTGTTCCTTTTCATTTTAGATGCATTTATTTGGGAATGTTTGTAAATTTTAAATTTATTTTGTTTGAATGAAATAAATCAAACTGAAAAACTGAATAAATGAAAGCGTACATTATACAGATATATATTTTATTCATTCTCTGTTATTGTTAGTCACTATGAAATAAATGCAATAAATAAATATCAATTGGTATATTTTCTTTAACCAATCAGATAACTTCTAGTTTTAACTAACAGCTCAGTGTGAAGCTACAGCAATATGCACAAAATGGTTCCTTTTCCTCAGATATTCCTTTAAATGTTTGCAGAATCTCCTTCTGGACCTGAGGGTCTGTTCCTCCTAGAGGGATCGGCCCTCATAGGAGGTTAGTGTTTCTATAAGCCATTTGGCGGATTCTGGTGCATTCACTGCAGATTTAATTAATGCATATCATCTCTGTCAAAAAAATCAATAAACTAAACTAGCAACCACTTTTAGGAGTCAATGTGGATAAAAAATAAAGATGGGAAGTTCTGCTCATCTAGGAAACAGCTTCATTGTCTGTATGGATGTTTTCAGACACCTGCTGTCCTCCCGATCATTTCAAGGCTCCGATAACTTCAATAAATCAACACTGACAACCCGACTGAAAGACTCTGCCTGTTTATATGTCAATTAGCAGCTGTCAGTTTCCCTCCACTTGCTCCTTCATCAGCATTATCATATAAACTGGGGGACCAGTTCAGCGCAGACTTTCTAGGACCAGCTTCAAGATTATATTTGAGGTGGAAACCAGCACATATTTATAGCTTTTAATCCATAAAGACAACTTTCAACCAAGTCACCTTAAAATGTCACTGATGTACCGGTGGATTTAGACAAAAATATTTCAAATAAATTCAAACATGGACATTTTTAATGACCTCAGCTGGAGTGGCGCTCAAAAAAAGTCTCTCCAATATAAACCATCTGTCAAGGCTCACAACAGAGGACCCAGAATTTAAAGCAAACTGACAGGCTTACTTCTCACAAGAGTTTATTAAGAAACGTATCTACAATACAGCAGCTGGGGCGTCTAAGGCTGGAATCTCTGCAGAGGAAAAACTCAGGTCAGTGACCACATAAGTCTGCCTGAGGAAGATTATGAATGCGTGAGTCACTAACCTGATCTTAGAGTTCAGTTCATGCCCAAAGGAAGGAGTGGAATCCAGCTGAATGATGCAAAACCAACTGTAAAATGCCTTGAAATGACGTGTTGTGAATTGGTGCTACAGAAATAAACTGAATTGAATTGGTTAAATTGGAATTGGAATTTTTTTTCCATTGGCCCCTTGATTTTCCGTTATTCCATCATGTTCTACTCACCCATGTTAGTTTAGTGTCATTTGGAGCCGTTCTGAAGATATTCCGTTAGGTTATATCCAGTAACGTCTTCCTATGGGCAACAATTGAAGGCACAAACTAAACTGTTCATGATTTATTCTTTATGGTACGCCAGCATTCATAACATGGAGGCCAATCACTGTCCCCCAGACATCCGCCGTTAGATTTTTGATATTCATATCTTTTAAAAACGAAGCGGCGCTTGTCTGGAGTAGTGACAGGCAGCCCGGGCCACAGGCGGCCAAGCTTTACCCCTTCTATTCATTCTAGCTCATCTGAATCGTTCAATTCCATTTGGAGAGCGAGATCATCTGTGGTAGCAGCTCTAGACATCTTCCAGGCATGTGAGGAAACTAGCAGCAGTTCAGAGGACAGGATGAAGGAACGGTAGCCCGGATGACGTCATACACACTCTGCTTTGTTTTTAAAAGCTATGGATGATGGATGGATGATGGATGGATGGATGGATGATGGATGGATGGATGGATGGATGATGGATGGATGGATGGATGGATGATGGATGGATGGATGGATGATGGATGGATGGATGGATGATGGATGGATGGATGGATGGATGGATGGATGGATGGATGGATGATGGATGGATGGATGATGGATGGATGACAGATGATGGATGGATGGATGACGGATGGATGGATCATGGTTGGATGGATGATGGATGGATGGATGGATCACGGTTGGATGGATGGATGATGGATGGATGACGGATGGATGGATCACGGTTGGATGATGGATGGATGGATGGATGGATGGATGGATGGATGATGGATGGATGGATGGATGGATGGATGGATGGATGGATGGATGGATGATGGATGGATGATGGATGGATGGATGGATGGATGGATGATGGATGGATGGATGGATGGATGATGGATGGATGGATGATGGATGGATGGATGGATGGATGGATGGATGGATGATGGATGGATGGATGATGGATGGATGGATGATGGATGGATGATGGATGGATGACAGATGATGATGGATGGATGACGGATGGATGGATCATGGTTGGATGGATGATGGATGGATGGATGGATGGATGATGGATGGATGATGGATGGATGGATGGATGATGGATGGATGGATGGATGGATGGATGATGGATGGATGGATGGATGATGGATGGATGGATGGATGGATGGATGGATGGATGGATGATGGATGGATGGATGGATGATGGATGGATGGATGGATGATGGATGGATGATGGATGGATGGATGATGGATGGATGATGGATGGATGACAGATGATGGATGGATGGATGACGGATGGATGGATCACGGTTGGATGGATGATGGATGGATGATGGATGGATGGATGGATGGATGATGGATGGATGGATGGATGGATGGATGGATGGATGGATGGATGGATGGATGGATGATGGATGGATGGATGGATGATGGATGGATGATGGATGGATGGATGGATGGATGGATGATGGATGGATGGATGGATGATGGATGGATGGATGGATGATGGATGGATGATGGATGGATGGATGGATGATGGATGGATGGATGATGGTTGGATGATGGATGGATGGATGGATGGATGATGGATGGATGGATGGATGGATGGATGGATGGATGGATGGATGATGGATGGATGGATGGATGATGGATGGATGGATGGATGATGGATGGATGATGGATGGATGGATGATGGATGGATGATGGATGGATGACAGATGATGGATGGATGGATGACGGATGGATGGATCACGGTTGGATGGATGATGGATGGATGATGGATGGATGACGGATGGATGGATCACGGTTGGATGATGGATGGATGGATGGATGGATGGATGGATGATGGATGGGTGGATGGATGGGTGGATGGATGATGGATGGGTGGATGGATGGATGATGGACGGATGGATGGATGGATGATGGATGGATGGATGATGGATGGATGGATGAATGATGGATGGATGGATGATGGATGGATGATGGATGGATGGATGATGGATGATGGATGATGGATGGATGGATGAATGATGGATGAATGATGGATGGATCTTGAAAAGCTATTTTATTTTTCCACATTTATTCAGACTGAGGTACTAATTTGATTGATTTAATTTTATGTTACTGACTTTTGACTTTTTCCAATAATCAAAAGGAAACAGCTGCAGGTTTTTACTCCTCATGGCCAGTAAGGGGCGCTCTCATTCACTCTCATTCTATACTGTTTGCCATCAGCTGGTTCACTGATTCAATCAGTACGTCTGATTCTTTAAATCAACACCAACGCTCTAAAGCCTGACCAATGTTCTGCCTCATTTTGCTTCTTTTTTTATCCTTCCACACTAATATCCCTCAGAATCAGAGAGATATGAAGTAGAGCCTTTTCTCAAAGCTTCTAGGGTCTGCTAAAGCCTAAGCCCCGCCCCTCCTGACTTCAACCCCATATTCCTATGATGCAGAATCCATTGTAACCAGGAGGAAATATGTATCTATTCTGGACCTGTCAAAAGGTATGAAAGTCATTTATTAACAATATATTAAGATTTTACAGTAAAATGAATGAATTTATTTGCACCACTCCACCACTGAGGATGGACTGAAGGTTGTGAGGTTGATTAGAGATTGTTTTCTTAGAGCTCTGCACGCCAAGCAGAGGGTCTGACTCTCATTCTGAGGCAGAACTCCTCAGACATCATCAACACCTCCTTCAACCTTCCTGCATCTGTGAAAAACTCGCTGCAAGAAGTTTCCTACTTTGCTCATAAGGGTCATTCATTAAAGTGAGCCGTTAGAGGAGACGCTTTAGAAAACTCGACTCAGAGTGAGCCGGTAAAAAAATTAGAAACCCATTTACGTCTCTGCAGGGTCACCGGTCTGGCTCCTCCTAACAAACGCAGAGAGCCCAGAGAAGAGACGTGTCTGTTGGTTAGTTCTTTGCCTCAGATTTCCCTGGACTCTGGGAACAGGTGGGGAGCAGCAGGGAGCGGCGGCGGAGCCTTAATGACCGTCATTACTCACCTCTCTCTGACGCCGGGGCCAGATCAATGAAGCTTCGGCACTTCTCACCTGAGAGGGTCGGAGCAGAGAGGGATGGAGGAGAGGAAAGAGAGAAGATGACTCAGCATCAAACTGGAATCAGTTAAAATAACACATTTATATAAAATTAAAAAAGCTTTGGAATCTAAAATCTAAATAACTACAATACTTTTTATGTTTATGTTATATATTACATCATATAATGTTTAACCAATAGTCATAAACTGTAAATGAGGCACATTAACTGCTTAGTTGTACCTGTTTACAGGGGCGGATTTAGGAAATTTGGGGCCCTAGGCAAAGACAGACAGGGGGCCCTCTGAATGAAGAAGACAACACATAAACAAACCCATTTTAAAGATAGAGAAATGTTAATAGAATAGACATCCATTATCTGTTCTAGGTTCTGTCCCTCTCTTCTTGTTTTCCTCTCTATGTTTTGTACTCAGCTGTTTTCGTTTTTTGTACTCAGAGTTTTGTCGCCGCTTTCCTCCTCTAAATAAAAAATGGATGACGGAGGAGACTCATCCACGACCTCCGACACTAAACTCTCCTCCTCTTGCATGTTTCCGCTGTCCATAGCGTTCCTTGACAGCGTCGTTTCTAAGTCACCAATTTAGTGCTACTTTGTCCCAATGGAATTTACCATTGGGAACCTACTAGCACTAAGTTGCTAACTGGTTAGCAAGATGCTTCCAACAAACCGGCCACAATAAGAACTTGCTTGTGAACCTTCCGTCACAACAATCCCGCCGCTTTGATAATCAACCAATCACTTTCACTTTATTCACTTGCGTAAAGTCGGGAACCACTCGGGAGAATTCGGAAATGCAACGGGAAGAGCCGCTTCCCTGCGACTTTAAGGTCTTGTGCAATACATATTTTTTAAGGATTAAAAACCTGCGACTGTTTTTTAAATTCAAAAACATATAAAAAAAAACTCACACTCAAACATCAAATTAATGTTATTTTAGAAATGTTAAATTTTTAATTGACGTGAGCGTATTGGTGTCGGAGGTCGTGGATGAGTCTCCTCCGTCATCCATTTTTTATTTAGAGGAGGAAAGCGGGGACGAAGATGTTGTGGAAGAGGACGCCAGGGCGGCAGAAGCTTGGTTTGGTGTAGAAGGCTTCCAGCCGTACATGTTTGATAGCCTGGGTGCCATTCCGAACTTAGTCCCACCCACAACGTTTGAGGTCGGGAAGTTCGGTCTGGCATTGCTCAATATTAGCGCGAGTATGCTGGCACAAAATCTGGTGGGCCAATCAAATTGTCAGGGCGGGCTTTATACGATGATGGACAGATGATCAACAGTAACGTAATCAACCACGTGACCAAAGCGCCCTTGGGTGACAACAACAATGGCTGCCGCTGGAGAGTTGAGGTGTGTAGATTCTGCTATTAGGTCTGTTCTAGAAGATATCGACAGCAAATTAATTTTAAAAGAGGAACAGAGAAACGCGATCAAGTCTCATCTTCTTATTCTAGGCGTGCAACTGCACGCTTTGATTTTTGTTGACAACAACTATGCGTCGCTTAACATACGTCACGCACTCCGTTGCTCTTATTGGTTGTAGGTCTATCCAATTGAGTGCAGAGGCATTTTTTTTCCTGGTTCGTTCGAAACACGCCCCATAATCACAGCTCTGTGGAGCAGCATCAGACTCATTCTGACTAGAATTGAGTAGGACTACGTCAGGCTACATGTTTGAGCCCTTGCCTTGCAACGCTGCCAGTTCTGTTAGCTCTACGCCTGCCGAAGACACAGACGTCCATCCCCGTGAACACTTGGACGCAACTCAATGGGAAAGGAAAGGATTCTGATTTCAACCGTTGCGTATATTAGCTGCGACACATGAATCAAGATGCTATGACCGAATTTGCTTGACAGATGATCGTTGATATATGATTGGCTGAATTTAGGTGCTCAGGCTGACGTAGAACTAACTGGCCTGCAGAATATAATGAAAAAAAAACACAGATTTTAAGACTGGATTTTATTTTAAATAGAAATTTTCTAAATTTTGGGACAATATGGTCTGATAAAGAGCACATTTATATACATGTTTAAGCCAGAATGATTTGACATTTAAATATGATTTTCCTTCTGAGGATTTGAGCAAGTGTGGAGAGATTACACCGAAGAGGCAGGAAAATGAAGGTGAGCGCAGGACGGATTTTGATTAGAGCGTCCTGGAGCAACTCTGAGCGGTGGAGCAAATGAGCGAACATCCTCCTGAGCGGAAATTGCTCGCCGCTCCGCCCCCTTCACACACTCTGATCCAGACAAGCTTTCCCCTCATTAGTTTATCTTATTTTTCTTTATTCCTGCGAAGCACCTGCTCCTCATCTAAGACAGGCGCTGTATGCCATAGACTCAGCATATTTCAAAACCAAAAGTTTTTATGCCTTTTTGCAGCCAGTAGGTTCTTTGTTTTAACTCAGAGCCTCAGATTGTTCTGCACGAAGTTAGCATGTCCTACCTGTCATTCTGAAAAAGTTAATAAAAATAAAGCACTGGATTTTGTTTTTTCAAGTTTGAAGTCGTTTCCAGGCTAACAATGCCCCTTACGACTCCCCTTTCAGAGGCATAGACCTATGTTCGCCTGCGATACCCAACCTATTGCAGGATAACAAAGACATCAGCGAGTCCCCGTTCCTAAAGGCTGGACCGGTTCTTCTGGTTCAATTTGCATGTTTTCTAAGCCCAAACAAGGCTTTATTGGCCTGTAAAACACTATTTCTGATATTTTTAATGGAAAAAGCTTCCTGGATGGGAAGCGAAACGTCTTCAAACTTGGCAAAAAAAGTGCAGTGGAATGACCAAGACCTGGATGAATCTTCACCAACATGTCCTGCCAGTGCATACGTGGCTTCTCTTTGGCTTTCTCCAAAAAATGTGTATATTTTAGATATGAAAACGTGAGCATGGCTTCTCTTTAATGCTGCCGTGTGATGGACTGACTCCCCGGGTGTTTAAGCATCTCCTCCAAGCATGGAGGGACTGATTCATCCATCCTTATTTAGCAGAACAGATCATATGGTTGGACAGAACTGTGCTGTTTTATTATAGTAATGATCAGACCTCCATCCATCCATCCGTCTTCTAGCTTCATCAATTCAGGGTCGTGGTGCAGCTGGGTTCTATCTCCAGTAGTCTATTAATAAAAGGCGGGTCACCAGTCCATCACAGGGCAACACAGACACACAACCAACCAAACATCTTCAAATCCTTTATGTCTTTAGGTGTTTATAGAAGGAGAATCTTCATTTCATTCTGAATTTGCATCCATTGTAGAAGTTGTCCTTTTATTTACAATTAATGAACTTCTCTATTCAGAGGCGCAGAGAGCAGATTTCATTCACTTCTCTCTGGCTTCATGTTTTTTTTTTCCCTGCATGCTCCGGCGGCTGCAGGGAGTTCATCAGTGCGACTCAGCAGGTCACAGATCAGCAGCTGCAGCATGAGCCATAACTCAGCCTCTGTGGTGCCATGGAGGAGCAGCAGCTCCATCCATTACTGGCCTGGTTATTGCCCCCCCCCCAATCGCTCAGCACAGCCCAGATAGAGACGCTCTGTCTGATTCTGGGGAACTAATGAGGAGCGCAGCTTAACGCTCTGAAATAAAATAAAATAAAAAATATTGTAAAACAAAGCAACAGTACAGAGAAGTTTACTCTGCAGAGGAACCTAGTGGCCCAGAACACGGTCGGTTCACTTTACTACTGAAAATAAAAACAAGGGATTTATCGAAGTAATTTAGAAAAATATATTAAGATATCATCCATCCATCCCTCCATCCATCCATCCATCCAATTTAATTCTATTCAGTTTATTTCTATAGCTCCAATTCACATCATGTCATCTCAGGTCACTTTCCAGTTCACCAGATCATCCAGTCAGATTGATTCAAAGTTTTCTATCTAAGAAAAACCAGCTGATTGCATCGACTCATTGACTCTTCAGCAATCCCTCACACTAAGCATGCTTGTAGCGACAGTGGAGAGGAAAAACTCCCTTTTAACAGGAAGAAACCTCCAGCAGAACCAGGCTCAGTGTGAGCGGCCATCTGCTGAGGCCGACTGGGGTTCAAGGAGAAAGAAGCAGACATAGAAAAAGAAGCATAGATACAAGAGGCAACTGTCAACCAACTCCACAGGCGGCCCCATCCAGGAAACACACAGCCAGGCAGATGAGCTCCGAGCCAGCTCCCATGCCAGAGGACGAAGAGAGCACATCCAGTTAGTCACAGTCAGAGAAACAGGACTACACTGGAAAACAGGCCAAGCTCCAACATCTAGAAACAAAGGTGTTGATAGCAGCAGCACAGCTGATATTTCTCTCCAGGATGGAGTCACAGCCAAACAGGAACAGACCAGATGAAGCTACTATGAGAAAAAGCAGAGAGAGCAGAACGTTAGAGATTGAACTAACAGATTCTGCAGAGTGGGAGAATAGAGATAGAATGGTAGAACCATCCATCCATCATCTATCCATCCATCCATCCATCATCCATCCATCCATCCATCCATCCATCCATCCATCCATCATCCATCCATCCATCCATCCATCCATCCATCCATCCATCCATCATCCATCCATCCATCCATCCATCCATCCATCCATCCATCCATCCATCCATCCATCCATCCATCCATCCATCCAGTTGCTGTGTGCATCAGGTGAACTTCAATGACCGTCTGAAAAGCATAGCTCACCACAGATATACGCCTGAAAGTGTGCATGCACAGAAAAATGTAGCTACCTGGGGACAAGCACGTAGGACAGCTTTACGTAAACGTATCACCAGAATGATTGACAGTTAGGAGGACCACTTATTTAGATGATCCACCCGGCAAAAGAACATCTTCCACTATACATTTAGGTTTTCTTTTTGGATTTCTACTCTTGCTTTCTATTTCTTTACATAATCTCTTTCCAGCATGTTCGGTATTATTTATTCTTTGGTGGAGTTATTAGTTTTATTTCTTTAACTTCATTTAAGTTATTTCCTAGTTACAGTTTGTT